CTTCATAGTGATATTTATGTAGCCCTAATGGTCTTGTGTTTTCACTCCTTAGGAGGCATGATCGCACTAGGGGAGCTTTGCTTAGATTTGTCACCAAGTGTGAGCAGGTGGGGCCACCATATCTTCAGTTTCCTCTCCTACTTCTCCTTCATCCTCGGATTTGAAATGCACACATGTAATATCACGTATGTGTGGACCATACCTCATTGTGGCTGTGTTCATTGCTTCCGATACTTTTTCTCTCTGTCCCTCACTTTGCAGTTCATATTGCTGTAGCTTCAAGTTTACAGCACATTTTCAGCAGTGTACAATCTGTTTTTAATTGGATGCTCTGAACTGTATTCTTTTTACATTTGTGATCTGCTTTCATGGACTTTCTAATTTGCTTCTTTCATATCTTTTCAACTTGTTTCCAAACATTACATAATATTTTCTTTAGTACATGAACATTTCACAATATATATGATAATGTTTCTGTGTGTCAATTTCATTAACCTTCACAATTTCATCTTTTATTAACGAAGTCATTGTACATACAATTGACAACGGGATGTTTTGATATTTGCTTGTTTTCTGAATGATTACATGAAGCTGATTAACAGATAACTCACACACAGCATTGTTTTTGTGATGAAAACTCATAACCTGTACTCTTTCAGCAATTTTGGAAACTACAACATTCTCTGATTAATGATAATCACCTTGCAGAGTAATACATCTCTGAAACACAGTCTAGTCCAACTAGAACCTGGAACTCCTTGGACAATACCTCTCTGTGTTGGTTTGGGGCTTATTTTGCAAGGGGAACAATGTAATACAGGACACATACTTTATATGATTATTTATAATAGTCACCCAAAGAACAGTATACAAAAGAGTGCAGGGAATCTGTCCACACACTAAGACCAAGGAATCCAGCTGAGGGCCTGGATCCCACAACAATGTCCTACATGAGCTGAGCTGAATACCCAGAGCTCATAACAATGCCTCCCATGAATCCAACTGGAGGCTCAGAGCCCATGACAATGTCTTATGCAGAGCTGTTTCATGGATCTGCTGGGAAGGCCCAGAGGTCAGTGGTGGAATCTACAAAGTCTGTGCCCTCAGGATGAAGGACCTGTGCTAGCAGGCTGAGGGATCTGCACTGGAGTCAGGAAGTGATGCTCAGAAGAACCAGAGCTTCCCCAAAAGGTACCAAGCCATCCTCGGCAACTGTGAGGTCCTGAGCTCCTCCAGTATCAGGATGGCTGAGTTCCCATCAGGGAAGCCAACGCAGCAAGCTTTTCCTGGAGGCCAGCAGTACACCGTCTTCCCCTCCAGAACCAGGAAGCGACGCTCAAAGTGAGGTCCAGAGCTCTCCTAAAGTGAACCAAAGCCATTCTCAGTGCCAGC